CCTAGCACGCCATTTCTCGACCCGCTCTTTCATTTGAGCCCAAAAAAACATTCAACAGGGGGGATAACGTTTTTTTTTTAGGGGTGATTTTTAAAAAATTTATTTAAAAAAAAGTACTAACTAGGAAATGTTTTTTATTAGCTCGCAATTTTCTTCAAAACTACTTCAATGAGGAAAAAAATAATAATTTGGAATATCTATACATGAGGGGCTAATTGATCGGATCTCGTGCGAGTGTGTGTGGTGTAAATAAATGTGGGCTCTGTCAGAATTACTGTTTACGTGCAGCCACAAACAGAACTGCTGAAAAGTTTTTGGAATATCGAGTGGGATTGGAGTTTATTGGAGTTGTGGGTGATTCCGGGGTTTAGTGGGAGCATTGGGGTGCGGAGATCTGCGAGAACTGAGGAAAATGGCTGCAGTTCATAGGGAGGCGATCCAGAAACAGATCCAGCAAGACTGGGCTAACCGTGAATACATTGAAGTCATCACTGGGAGCATCAAGAAAATAACGGATTTTCTCAACTCCTTTGGTGAGTTTAGTTCTTGCATTTTATGAAGTCTTCAAGAATGATTTATTAATTTTGATTAACTAGATTTAGTTATTTAATTGAATCATTTGTTTGGGTGGGGTTGTGACAGACATGTCCTGCAGATCTCGTTTAGCGGTTTTGAATGAGAAGCTGACGACTTTGGAACGGAGGATTGAATATCTAGAGGCTTGTGTAAGTTTTTTAATGATTAAATTTGCACAATCATTCTTTTCCTCAAAGGGTATTTTTCTGTGGACGTCATTGAAACACTGAGGTTATAGGGGAGGGTAAAATGGACACTTTAGACTTTTTTTAAATTGTTGATAACTCAGAAACAAATTTATCAATTGAGTTCAGGTTAGGCTCGTCACAAAGGGATAGAATTGTCCTTTGTATTGAAAGGAAAATTATTAAATTTCATCGCCATTTCAGCCCCTCATTAACATTTTAAAAAAAGTCAAAAGTGTCCATTTTACCCCAACCTCCCCTAGTTCTTTTTTATTGGTGTGAATCATTAGGGGAGAATGGAAATGACGAAAGAGAAGATTCAATTCTTTCATTCTGATAGCTTCTGCAAATTACTGATAATGAATAATAGTCCTTATCAATTTCTTCTGTTGATTACGAGTTAAATTTAATGGAATGGATAAATTTGGGAGGAGTAAAATGAACACTTTTGATTTTGTTCTTATGTTCATAACTCAGGAACAAATTTATCAATTGAAGTTAATCTAGGCTCATCACGAAGGAAAGCAATTGTCCTCTCCGTGGAAAAAATCATGTAATGTTGAAATCATTCATCATTGATAATTTTTCCCTAAATTGTAATTTTGATTGTAATTTTGAGTGTAAGAAATTAATCCATTAAATTCCTTTTTCCATTATTTTTTTAAGCAAAAGTCAAAGACAATAAAAAAAAGTCCAAAGGCAATAAACATATTTTTTTTTTTAAGTTTGATAGTGACGATAATTTTTATATTGAGCATAGAATTTTCTTTGATTTTTTCTGATTTTTCGAAATTTTTTGGAGATTTTAACTTTATCCCTAATTTCGAAATGTTCATTTTCTCATAAGAATGTATTATTTTTCCACTTCTAGATGAATTATTATCAGTAATACGAGACTGCTGATTGAGCAGAAACGCAGAAACTGAACTAGAATATTTCGATTCATCTGAACTTTCATTAAAAAATAAAAAAACTTTCATTTAGAATTCATTTCAGATTTTAATCTTCAAAATTCAAGTTATATTTATACTACTTCAATCTTTTCAAGTATCTCACCCAATCAAATGAATAAATTCGATAAAAAGTACTCGAATATCCTTAACCTCGCTATTAATTCGATTAGAGCCTCCTTATTAATTTGTAATTAAATTTGTATTTTCAGGTGACGAAAGGCGAAACTCTAACATAAGTTTAAGGCATTAATCGAAAATTTATTTACCTTTATACCGTTAACTACGAATGAACTTCCCTTTGCTACTACTTCCTACAATAAAACCGAAATTTTACAATGATTTCAAGACGTGGATAATCGATGTATATTTCCGAATAAAACCAAATACCAATGACCAATTTTTAATTACATATTCTACATTTTTATTTTTATCAAGAGAAACTTTACATGGATATACGATGAAACAATTCTAACTGATCTCCAAGGATGAATCAGAGTAGATTAGTATGGTCTCCTTGGCCACTCTGTGATAGTGCCCACGAGTGAGTAGTCGTACCAATGATCGTATCTTGGAGTAACTGGATTCCACCAATTCCAGTTGTTCTCTTTGGAATCTTTCTTCAGAAGTGCTCCAGCCAGCAGGAAGAGCGTCGCAGGAATCGTGAAGGCTTGTTTCTTTTTGAAGGCATGGAGTACTGGCATGCAAGCCGCCACTGAAACAGAACGAAAATGTTTTATCAACGATGAAAGGAAGACAAAATGGAGAATTAAGGTATATCCCAAGACAATCGGACCCAAAAGTTAGTTTCTACGGATTTCCGGAAGAAATTCTAAATAACTTAATTTATTGCATTGTCATAACACGCACGAAAAAAGTTAATAGAAAAACCTATCGAATTCGATATAAAATTGTATTAAATTTCTATTAAACTTTATATTAGTTTTTGGCTGATTCTATTGACATGTTCAATAGAAAATATTCAATACAAAAAGAGAACAGAATTCGATTTTTCTATATAACTTATCCTTTTCATATATTTTCTATAGAATTTGCTCGACTCAAATTTTCTAAGTTTTCTATTTCTTGATTCAATTATTTTTTGTTTTGTTATTTTCACTTCAAATCATTTTTTTTCTGCTAATTAAAACATTCTTTAAGGTATGGAACAACCGGCGCAACTGGCCTGTTCATCCTAGTACACGATTTAAAAAAAAGTTCCCCGTATTCGGAAGTTATCAGTTTATCACGGATTAGTTTTTTAAGGATACCCAAATATTTTTCACTCATTTGCAATCATCAAATATGTGAATTGAATTGTGTGAGAAAAATTGAAAAAATATCATGAATATTCAGTGTTAATAAAATTACATTTTGCACAGAGTTATTATTTTTTAAACATTAGTTTGTTATAAATAAATAATTCAAATTGTTTAAACTCGCGGAAACCTTATTTTTTAAGCATGAACTCGAAAATTGCGAGCATTTTCTATAAATAATTTATAAACAATATCAATTTTACCGGAATGACGGATAAAAATCATTTGTTTGGAATCGTGACAGATTTACTCATATTCAGAATTTTAGCAAAAATCGATTGCATGTCTGAAAAAATAAGATTTCCGAAAGTTTAAAGGTTGAATTATGTATTTATAAACAACGAATGTTTAAAAAATGATAATTCTGTGCAAAATGCAATTTGAATGACGCTGAATATTCTACATTTTTTCAAAATTTCCCAGTTTTTTTTTTGTTTTTCTTTAAGAGGAGGAAAAAATTGGTGCGAAAAAAATTAGAAAATTTATCTAAAAAAATTTCTATAGAAAGTGTCCCAATGAAAAAATTCCCAAAGAAAGATTAAATCCTTCTGATCTTTTCTGATAAAATAGTTCTGATATTGAACATTTTTTATTAAAAAAAAATTGATAAAATCGGCGAAAAACGAACTGAATTTTCAATAGAAGTTCAATAGAATTTCTTAAGGAATTCGCTAGGTTTTTCTATAAATTCTGTTCGTGCATGTTAATTTGTTAAGAAGTGCTTTCACCAGGAAATTGAGGACGAAGGCAGTCTCTTGACATTTTGTCCTGGAATAATTCATGAGCGAGACGACTCGAGATTGGAACAAATGTGCAAAATTGGCCTGTTCTGTTGCATGTTACATTGAACAATTGAAATATCCTTAGACTCACCTCCAAGACCATAATTAAGTTTGTCATCCTTCCCCCTAAAATCCGTCGCAATGTAGGTTACCGCTGCGAAGGTACTTGCGACGCCAACAGCAGGAATTACGTAGAAACCAAAGACATTCAGAGTCTCCGAGATATTCTTGACCTGTGATATGAAGCAGCAATCGCCGATAGTGGCAAAAGCTGCACTCATAAGGGCGTATTTGTTTATTCCCCATAGTTTCTCCCAGGGATTTGTTCCTTCTGGTGAATCGTAGTAGTTAGGTCCACCCAGGAAGAGGAGCCGTTTCCGTAATGATGGATCATCGTCATCTGTTCATTGAAATTCGAGAGTGCACGTATGAAAAAATTTAATAGAAAAACCCATCGAATTCGTTAGAAAATTCTGTTCAATTCCTATTAAACTTTCTATTAGTTTCTGGCTGATTCTATTGACATGTTCAATAGAAAACATTCAATAGAAAAATCAACAGAATTCGATTTTTCTATATAACTTATTCTTTTCATATGTTTTCTATAGAATTTTCTCGACTCAAATTTTCCACGTTTTTTTCATTCTATTTTTCTTTTCTTCTCATCAAGAAAATCAAACGAAAAAACTTGGAAAATTTGAGCCGAGGAAATTCTGTTGAAAATATCTGAATAGAATAAATTATACAGAAAAATTAAATTCTATTTACTTTTTCTACTGAATATTTTCTATTCAACCTTTCAATAGAATCGGCCAAAAACTAATAGAACAGTTCAATAGAAATTCAATAGAATTTTCCAACGAATTCGATAGGTTTTTCTATTAAATTTTTTCGTGCGTGGTTCTAAGTTACATGAAGACGCTTCAACCGTGTCATTGTTCGCTTCGATCGCATCATCAGTTTTTGAGTAATCGTGAATAAAAAATTTGATCACATACACCTTAATCACACACACCCGCACACATGTTTCAAAAATAGTGAACTGGTATATGAATAGTTTCATTCGCTTGTTTTTTTCCTGTTTTTACCTTCAAAATGCTCCTTATGCCGGAGTTTTCATACGATTTTAGATGTTTTTTTTGTTAAATGTTCGTTATACTCCAAGAATAAAGTTGAACATCCGTTTTACTTTATTCGCAATAATAGATCATGCATAAATGAATTATGAATTTCATAAATTTGACTCTACTCTAGAGACGCGAAAAATTGATGAAATTCAAAATTCATTTATGCAAAGAGGCATCAACAATTCAGTAGCGAAGTGGTAAACGGTTTAAGTCGACTTATCTCTTAGTTGCGTTTTTGAAGAATATCTCCGAATTTAAAGGAGATAATGAAATTTTCGTAATAACCTTTTTTCTAGAGCAAATTGAGTGCTACAAAAAAGGTTTCAACAGAAATGTAGCTATCTCCCTTCGATTCCGTGATATTCACTAAAAACTAGTCAATAGGCAAAATCGACTTGAACCGGTTTACTACTTCGCCACTGAATTATTTAACAATGTTGTTTTTCCCCAACTGCCCCTCACTGTGACCCTCTTTCGAATTCTCCAAATAAAAATATGAAACGGGGAGACATATTAGGAGGTTAGGAAACATTAAAACATGTACTCCATCGGATAAATAATTATTTAATTACATGTCGTCTTTTCTCATCTATTAAAAATACTAAATAAAAATCTAAAAATTTCTTATTATCATATTCAAGCCGGAAAAATCGACAACAATGCAGGAAAAGCCTTTTGGAGCAGGAGTGATCCTCCAGAGATGGCAACCGACTCTGACGAATTTTGGAAACAAAAATTGTTGGAGGGAACTTACCGTAGACTCTCGGCATGATCGCAACCCTCCTTCAGACTCCACCCCTTGATAAGCAATGAAAATACTCTAAATTTATAATATTATGAAGGCAGTGGAGTTTTATGACTGTCAGCTGGTGGATTTCTGCGCACGCGCTAAGAATTACGTAATGACAGCCAATGGGAGTCGACTCGAGGTAAATTCAAACCATTGATGCTTTTTTGGTGATAAAATATAGGGGAGGGTGGGGTAAAATGGACACTTTTGACTTTTTTTCAAATGCTAATAATTTATTGAGCTGTTGATGAAATGGAGTAATTTTTTTTTCAATAAAAACTTCCCCCTTATGATGAGCCTAGACTGAGCTCAATTGATGAATATATTTATGAGTTATGAATATTTTTAAAAAAGTCTAGTGTCCATTTTACCCCACCCTCCCCTATATTTCTCAATTTAGCTTGATAAAGTAAATGTACCTATGCTCGTTCAGGTGCTGCCAGCTATTACATCTTAATGATTTTGATAATTCCAAGAATAGTAAGAAAATGGATGATCTCAATTTCTAATTGATGATGAAGTAGGGGAGGGTGGGGTAGACACTTTTGACTTTTTAAAAAATGCTCATGACGTGTTGAATTGTTCATTAAATGGAATAATTTTATTTTTCAATAGAAAGAACAATGATTCCTCTTTGAGATGAGCTTAGACTGAGCTCAGTTGATAAATCTGTTTCTGAGTTATGAATATTTTTAAAAAAGTCAAAAGTGTCCATTTTACCCCATCCTTCCCTAAATATTAAAAAATATGGAACTATGAATTTTTCTATTAAGTAGATAATACTAAATTTCTTATAAGGGTTTTCCGATTATCCAAATCATCGTCAATCTTCCTAACTCAATTACTGATTAATGAATAATTCGAAATGTGACTATTTAAATTGAGGATTACTTCAAAAATTAAAATTTAAGAATGACATTGACTAATTGACTACTTAATAATTTAACAGCAATTATAATTTATGCATATGGCTATCCCTGATGGGAGTCGACTCAAGGTAAATTCAAACCACTGATGCTTTTTTGACGATAAAATATATATTTTTCAATTTACCTCGATAAGGTAAATGTACCTATGCTCGTTCAGATGCTGCCAGCTATTACATTTTAACCATTTTGATAATCCCAAGAATAGTAAAATAATGGATAATCTCAATTTCCAATTGATGATGAAGTAAATATTAAAAAATATGGAACTATGAATTTTTCTATTAAGTAGATAATACTAAATTTCTTATAAGGGATTTCCGATTATCCAAATCATCGTCAATCTTCCTAACTCAATTACTGATCAATGAATAATTCGAAATGTGACTATTTAAATTGAGGATTACTTTAATAATTAAAATTTAAGAATGACATTGACTAATTGACTATATAATAATTTAACAACAATTATAATTTATGGATATGGTTTTTCCTGATGGGAGTCGACTCAAGGTAAATTCAAACCACTGATGCTTTTTTGACGATAAAATATATATTTTTCAATTTACATCGATAAGGTAAATGTACCTACGCTCGTTCAGATGCTGCCAGCTATTACATTTTAATCATTTTGATAATCCCAAGAATAGTAAAATAATGGATAATCTCAATTTCCAATTGATGATGAAGTAAATATTAAAAAATATGGAACTATGAATTTTTCTATTAAGTAGATAATACTAAATTTCTTATAAGGGATTTCCGATTATCCAAAAATCGTCAATCTTCTTAACTCAATTACTGAATAATGAATAATTCAAAATTTGACTATTTAAATTGATGATTACTTCAATAATTAAAATTTAAGAATGATATTGACTAATTGACTACTTAATAATTTAACAGCAATTATAATTTATGGATATGGCTATCCCTGATGGGAGTCGACTCAAGGTAAATTCAAACCACTAATGCTTTTTTGACGATAAAATATATATTTTTCAATTTACATCGATAAGGTAAATGTACCTACGCTCGTTCAGATGCTGCCAGCTATTACATTTTAATCATTTTGATAATCCCAAGAATAGTAAAATAATGGATAATCTCAATTTCCAATTGATGATGAAGTAAATATTAAAAAATATGGAACTATGAATTTTTCTATTAAGTAGATAATACTAAATTTCTTATAAGGGATTTCCGATTATCCAAAAATCGTCAATCTTCTTAACTCAATTACTGAATAATGAATAATTCAAAATTTGACTATTTAAATTGAGGATTACTTCAATAATTAAAATTTAAGAATGATATTGACTAATTGACTACTTAATAATTTAACAGCAATTATAATTTATGGATATGGCTATCCCTGATGGGAGTCGATTCAAAGTAAATTCAAACTATTGATGCTTTTCGGGGGTAAAATATATATTTCTCAATTTAGCTTCATACAAATAGTGATAATGACGGATTATTTATGACGTGGTTTGACTTGGTTGATCTTCTTTCGTTTCCAGAGCTGAGTTTTTCGTATGTTTCTTCGTATTTTCGTGCGAACGATCTCTTTCAATTCCCTCCTGAGCTTTTTGAAGGACTCGTTGGAGGGTGCAGGGTTCTTGAAAAATTCTTCAGCTTCTGAAAAATGATATTGGTTATTCAATAGGACCATTTTGACAAACTGCGAACAATTCTATTACACACGATACACTGAGAGCAAAAGTAAGGAATTCGCAAACAATCCTTGCTTGAGCCAAAAAAATCACTATAATTTTGAAGATTTTTGGCTGAAATTTCCGATACACTCCTTGAATTCTTCAACACAATTTATTTCCACCGAAATTTCAAGAAATTTTGTCATTGAAAATTCTGAATTTCATGGAAAAGCTGATGAGAACTGAATTTTAGTTCAATTATTCCATGAAAATTAATAGAAATCAGTAAAACTCTGGTGAATATAATCATTAATTCCACTGATTCTAAAATACTTCATTAATTATATTCATTACGCAGAGAATAATAAAAAAAATACCTTTAAACACTGCAGGATTCAAGAAAAATGTTTCTTCAACGCTTGACGATACTTTCTCATCACTAATCCTTGCACCTTGAACATTCTTCTCTGTATTTTCACCTTCATCGTCAGATGAATCATATCTAAATGGATTTCTAGCATCGAAATTCTCTCCAAACTTGGATTTCCTCTCTGTAGCCACTTTATCTTCATTCACGTCATGAGTTTTCTCTGAGAAACAGGAAAAACCAAAAATTACGAACATGTTTCATCGAATAGAATATGCAGAACTGTGGAAAAGTATTGTGGAGGAAATGTTAATCACCTGGAGGTGCTGTTCCGAATCGTTGGAGTAAACTGAACTCCTCAGGGGCTTTGAGTGTCTCAGTGAGATTTTCAGAGACTGAGTAAAACGTTTCAGTTGACACAGGAATGGGTTTTTCTTCTTCTACGACAGCCTCTTTCGCTTTTCGCTTCTTCTTTTTGGGTTGAGGCTCCTCTTTCTGGAGCTCATGTTTCTGGTGGTCGTCTTGGGTTGGATCGTAACGAATCATTTGATTTTTCCTGGGAAAATAGAATAATTAAGTAGTGGAATAAGAAAAGAGAAATGGTCAACTCGTTTTCATTAATTTAATTTAAAAATTAATAATAAAACCTATTAATTTTGAAATTAATTTCTTAATGAAATTAATTATAGGTTAGCTCTTTGCATTCAAGAAAAATAGGAAGACTCTCATGGGAATATTTTAGGTAATGCAAAGCAACAAGAATAGTTGACTGACAATTTTATCTTCTTCTGATTCTGAAGTATACTTTGAAGACTGAACTTTCGAAAGAAACTGATTAATCTTCATGTCAATTCTCTATTAAAATATTCATTGAACTCGAAAACATGGATTTTTTATTCGACCATTTTTTATCAATCGAAACTCGTAGAATTTTTTTAGGAATCTTTCCACGATTTGAGAAGCGATTTGACGTTTCTTAAATTTTTTCCAAAATTTGGTTTACCTCTTCACAGCCACTTGTGTATTATTCTTCTTAGCCAAAGGTTTCCCCAAAACATTCTGCAGAATTTCTAATTGTTTATTCTTCTCACTCGTCATTTCATCCTCAGCCTCTTCATTTTGATATTCTTCCTGATTTTCATTTTCTTCTTCTAAAAATCTCTTGTCCATGGCAAAACGTGGGTCATTCCCAAGATTCACCACCTATTCAGTGTAAAAATATGAAATAATGGAGGGACGTGAAAAATTTTTATTAACAGAGTGCTCATACCTTAGCCTTTTTATTTTCACTAAAATCAAACTCATCCACTCTCGAATCACCCTCCTTATCATCATCATCATCAAATAACGTTCGCTTTTTGGAGCGATTGGTATTTTTCTGCTCATAATTATCCTCCTGTTCTCCTATATTATCATCGAAGATAATTTTCTTATTTACACTTCCGTCCTGAAACAAAACAAGTGGGAATAGTTTTTGTATTGCATATAGTACAGTTTTTTTTGCTAATAAATTAGACTATTTTCGTAGGCAGAATAATTCTTCGCTAAAAAAATTCAAGTTCTCCTCAATCCACTAGTTTTTCTAATATTTTCAAAATAATCTGACACCAATTCTGTAATAAATTGCATTGAATAGATTGAATTGATTAAATAATTCAGAGAATTAATTCCATTATTACAATCAGAAAGCAGGAGAATATTTTGGGGTGCTATGGTTGTAATCAAAACCATTAGTTACAAAAAAAAAATTATTTTGGTAATTTCCCCTGAAGTTAATAATTTCTGTGATATTTGTGGAAAAATTTGCTCATATCAATTGTCTTGGGGTTTTGCACCAAAATAATTGTCAGCAAAGGAAGTTCCTTCAGGACCTTCCTTCATACTCACTAGTTTCTAAGTTCTTTACAACATAATTTAGGGAAATTCATTAAATTAAAAGTGAATAGGTGAATGCACCGACGAAAAATTTTAATAGAAAAACCTATTGAATTCATTAGAAAATTCTATTGAATTTCTATTGAACTGTTCTATTAGTTTTTGACCGATTCTACTGAAATGTTCAATAGAAAATATTCAGTAGAAAAAGTCAATAAAATTTAATTTTCCTGTATAACGTATTCTATTGAGATATTTTCTATAGAATTTCCTCAATTCAAATTTTCTAAGTTTTTTCGTTTGATTTCCTTGATGAGAAGAAAAGGAAAATAGAATGAAAAAAACTTAGGAAATTTGAGTCGAGCAAATGCTATAGAAAAAATATGAAAAGAATAAGTTATATAGAAAAATAGAATTCTGTTGACTTTTTCTATTAAATGTTTTCAATTGAACATGTCAATAGAATCAGCCAAAAGCTAATATAAAGTTTAGTAGAAATTCAATAGAATTTTCTGACGAATTCGATAGGTTTTTCTATTAAATTTTTTCGTGCGTGTGATATCACTGAGCTACAATTGTTGTAACCAAAACGATTTTCTACAAAAACAGTTTCACTATGAATTTTTCAACGCTAAATAATTTCAGAAATAATCGAACGAAAATCATCTAGACGAAAAATTTTATTTTTCACTAAATTACTTCCACTGAAAAGAAGACATACCACTGAGTTCAGAGCATTTCTGATCAACAATTCCTTCTCCCTGAAGGCCTCCTTCTGTTTCTTCAACGACGCACGTCTCACAGCATCCGAATCTCTCCCCCGAATCATGATTCAATAATTATCTTGCTCTAAATAAAGCAAAAATCATTCACAAAAGTTGATCAAAAACCCACGTGTAGTCACTCCAATCCACCAACCAAAACAAATTGACATTGAAGTTGGATTATAGTTAGGTTAGAGCTGCGCAGAAACCCCTTGCGCACACGACCGCGCAAAATTCATTCGGAGTGGAAATAAATCCTGGAAAAACAGCAACCGAGAGAATTGCTCCTTTATTTGTCTTTGCTTGACTTTTCCCTCCGTTCTACTCTGCCAATTTACTTTTCCATCCCCTGAATCAAGAGAAATACCGCATTCCAATCAAATAAAAAACTCTTCATTCCAAATTTTGCTGTTCATTTTAATAATATTTTTGTTGGATATATTTTCTCCATCAACTCCTCATCCATTTCAACGAAAATATTGTGATTGTGTGAAATTAATAATTGATTTGTTCGAACCCAGGGAACAATTTTTACGGATGCCATCTAAATTCGTCAGCAAGAGCGGTAAATATCCGGAAATTTACCGGTAAATTTTTAGCCGGGAAACAAAGAATTATTAAACGTCAATAAATTTCTATTCTTTCACCGTTTGGATTGAGGAAACATTTGTTTATATTGAAAAAAACTAATTTGATATGAATGCAAATGCAAATAAGAATCAAGTTTAAGTTTGAATAAAAATTTTATCGCGAGCTATCTGAATGGACTCATTTATTAAACTCCAGCAACGTTTATTTAATTTGAATAAACCATTATTTATTAACGAATTAGAATTTTTAGTCAGACTCAGAAAGTTTTCAATAGTTAAATCAACTACGTAATTGTTCATTCGATAATTCGAAATATAAAACAACTTATAGGGTTGATTATCAATTAATTAGTGGAAATAAATCCTGGAAAGAGCAACTCAACCGAGAGAATTGCTCCTTTATTTGTCTTTGCTCGACATTTCCCTCCTTTTTAATCTGCCAATTTACATTTCCATCCCCTGAATCTAGAGAAATACCGCATTCCAATCAAATAAAACTCTTCATTCAAAATTTTGCTGTTCATTTTAATAATATTTTTGTTGGATATATTTTCTCCATCAACTCCTCATCCATTTCAACGAAAATATTGTGATTGTGTGAAATTAATAATTGATTTGTTCGAACCCAGGGAACAATTTTTACGGATGCCATCTAAATTCGTCAGCAAGAGCGGTAAATATCCGGAAATTTACCGGTAAATTTTTAGCCGGGAAACAAAGAATTATTAAACGTCAATAAATTTCTATTCTTTCACCGTTTGGATTGAGGAAACATTTGTTTATATTGAAAAAAACTAATTTGATGTGAATGGAAATGCAAATAAGAATCAAGTTTAAGTTTGAATAAAAATTTTATCGCGAGCTATCTGAATGGACTCATTTATTAAGCTCCAGCAACGTTTATTTAATTTGAATAAACCATTATTTATTAAAGAATTAGAATTTTTAGTCAGACTCAGAAAGTTTTCAATAGTTAAATCAACTACGTAATTGTTCATTCGATAATTCGAAATATAAAACAACTTATAGGGTTGATTATCAATTAATTAGTGGAAATAAATCCTGGAAAGAGCAACTCAACCGAGAGAATTGCTCCTTTATTTGTCTTTGCTCGACATTTCCCTCCTTTTTAATCTGCCAATTTACATTTCCATCCCCTGAATCTAGAGAAATACCGCATTTCAATCTAATAAAACTCTTCATTCAAAATTTTGCTGTTCATTTTAATAATATTTTTGTTGGACAATTTTTACGGATGCCATCTAAATTCCTCAGCAAGAGCGGTAAATATCCGGAAATTTACCGCTAAATTTTTAGCCGGGAAAGAAAGAATTATTAAACGTCAATAAATTTGTGAGCATTGTGACCCTTAATCTGACCCCGGTGACCTTTAATCCGAAAATTTGTGACTCTTATTCTGACCTCCGTGACCCTTAATCCGACCATTATTTTGACCCTCGTGATCCTTATCTTGACCCTTGTCACCCTTAATTGTGGAGTCTTAATTTCGAGTACCAATTTTTTATCACCAGAAGTCGATTTGGCTTTTTATAATATAGAGAGATTAAATTCAAGGCTTCGTTATAGCTGAAATGTCTATTTCATTACTCATTGAATCATTCGGGACATCGAAAATGGTCTGGATTCAATTGTCAAGACAAGAGAAAGGTGACACAAATTCCGAAAAATTCTGGTAAGTTTTTGTTTATAATTAAACACAATATCAAGTAATAAACCAAAGGTTTCACCAACTGAATAGCGCGGGTATATGCAGAGGTTTTGTTTCTGACGTCAATGTATCGATCTCATTATTAGGGTATGTATCACTTGAGAATACAGATAGGTACCTACCTTACGTATGATTATTGCATCCAAAAATAGTAACTCACTGTATTATTTGTTTGTGCAAATTAACGTTCATACATTATGTTTGTACATTCACATTATCAAGAGCAGTCCAATTCATATATGAGCATAATAACGAAGAGAATGACACGTATTTTCAATTAAAAATAGAAACGCAATCGATGACGGTAATGGAATGTTTATTAGGTGCATTGAATGAGGTAAACTCAATTTATCGTTGTTTACTAATTTAATTTCGTTGATGCGGATGGTTTTTTTTCTGTGATTTCAATGCGTTCACTTCAAGTTAAATATCGCAAAAATTACCTAAACCATTAGAATTTTTACTATTCAAAATAAAAATATATGATGTACAAAGAAATTGAATTGAAAAACCGAGTACATTTGCAAGATAATTCTATTGAATTTTTATTTGAAAAATTTCCGGCAATTCGGAAAATGCAAAGTGAGAGAAAAACAGCAGAGTCTTACTTGTGCCAAAAAAAGCGTTTGTTAAAAATGATCAAGAAACGATCTTCGTGTGCCAAACACGCGAAGCGTGCGTCAAGATTGAAAATTTATGTAAAATAGTCAGCAAAATGTTTTTGACAAAGTCGAGAATATATTTTAACCCTAGATTGGTGACTCTATGAAGGAACCCCCGCCGCGAGTCGTTTATCTTTAATTACAATTGACTGGCTAATCGGAGAAATTAATAAAAGATTGACTTTGTCCATTGAAGTGTCTAAAAAATTATAGTAGTTTTTAGAACAACATATTTCCCAAAATCCCTAAAGAAAACAAATTATTTCGGACAGATGAATTATTTTTTCCAGTGTTAAATGAAATTGCCCATGACGCGACGTTGTCGGATACTCACTAAACACGTTCGAGCAGTGTAGAGTGAATTTGGCAACGCTAGAGTCTAAATAATACGGCGGGGAATCCCCGCGGAGGTGACCAATCGTAGGGTGGCGTTTGGTGACAGGACTAGGGTTGAATATATTTTAAGGATAATTTTCCTGGGCATTATTTTATATGAATGGCTCCAATTTTTATATTAAACAAAACGAAATTAGCTGCGTAGGAGTCGAACTTCAAGAAACTAATTCGTAACTGTTATTGTGTACATTTCACGGAGAGAAATTTTTTAGAAAAATTCTAGTGCTAGCATGGGAAAAGAGGCGCAAAGTGACGGTCAGGAAAAAATTCCAGCGCCGGCACTAGCAATTTTAGTGGGGAAAACGTGGATTTTTCCCCGTATTTCTGTGAAAATTTCACAGGAATCCTCAGAAATTTTACCAGAAATACAAAGAACAGCATTAGAATTTGTCACAGTCGGTGAGTTGTGATTTTTTCCAGTACTTGTACTAGAATTCTTCTAGAAAATTTCTCTCCGTGTTTATCAAAAATTTTGAAGAAAAAATAAAAAAAATAAAAAAAAGGGGATTTTTTAAAAAGAAAAATCCTCTGTAGCTCAAAAATTGGAGGCCCTGGACTATTTTAGGATAGTATAGTATGTATATAGTACATAAAACATCCCTAAAAATGGAAAAAAAGAACGCAAAAAGCAAAAGAGAATCGAAGAAGAGGGTGAAGAGGATTATGACGATTCCGAATAAATTATTCAACAATTAAATTCTCATTGTGAAAAACTTTGGAACCATTCACTTTTTCCGCATTATTATTCAGATAAAAATTAATGAAAGTGAGAAACGACAAGGTTTTACTATTCCGTCACCCATGGAAAACAATACGCGCGCGAAACGCGCCCCCTGTTCTGCTATTCAGAAACGAAATGACATGAATTGTAAATTTTTCCCTGAATTTTTTGAGTTTTCACAGAATAGGTAATTGAACTGAAGAATCAAGTAGTTTAAGGATTCCCACATGATTTGAACAGAAAATAAGTGAAATATTTCCTGAAATTTCAGTGGAACTTGAACACGATAAAAACTCCTGGAATTTGGCACGGTAAAAACAAACGAAAGTTTTTAAAAATATATGTTAGACCACGTTAAAAAGTGGGGAAAATGAAGACTTCAAATAGATTATGCTCCATATGTCCACGAAAGATGACCTACAGAATGGTACCAGTGCTTCAATTATCATCCAATTCACAGTTGTTTCTGGCATTTTCTATAAATTCAGCAGTGAAGCGGTAAACCGGGTCAAGTCGTTTTGACTATTGGCCAGTTTTTGACAAATATCTCGGAATCTAAAAGAGATAGAAATTTTTTTGTCATGACCTTTTTTGTAGAGCCAATTGAGTGTTACAAAAAAGGTGATGGGAAAATTCTGCCATCTCTCTTAGATTCCGAGATATTCATCAAAAACTGATCCAAAGTCAAAATCGACTTAACCCGGTTTACCGCTTCGCTACTGAATTGTTTCTGTATATTTCCAAGATGATCCTATCTATCCAAGTGAAACGAAGGATGAGTGTTATTGGCATTGTTATTCTCTCATTCGGAATCTTCACACCACACGGCGAGAAATATTCAATAAAAATGCTTATAGGACATTTTACGTAACTGTCACGGAGTTTTTCCAGAGCGTTCCGTGATTTTTATCTGAATCACCTGTGAAAAATTACACTACCGCCACTTAAATTTTCTGAGTCGATCCCGTAATCGGTGAGCGAACTGTGAGTTCCGTAATTTTTACTGAACATTTCCCTCCGTGCAATTAAATTGACACAAATATCGAGAGAGGCGAAAACAAACGTACTCCGGAAATTCGATAGCCCTTGTTCCCTGCGAGATCTACATTCGCATGGAACATTTTCATTGTGACTCTTCGACGTTATTTATGGAAGACTATACAGAAAATCCATAA